CCCCCCCCCCCCCGCCCCGCAGACCGGGGTCGCGGCCGCTCCGAGCGCTTACGACTTCTTCCTGCAAATTAAAAATGTACATATGTAGATTATTATTATACTAATTTAAAGCGACGCTAATTGAGCTGGTACAGGACTTGAGGCGCAGCACGCGGGCCACAGGCCTCTGCTATATCTTTATGACAGGTGGACCACTAGGAAACGGCATCCCAGCTATTTATGAAAATTAAACTTATTGAAATTGAACCAATGACAAGTCTTCACTTATTGTGAGTACTAAGTGAAGACTTGTCATTGGCTCTCAGTTGTCTCGTCTATAGTTAATAAGATAGCTGTAAGTTTGGTTTTTGATGTAAGATGTAATTAAATAGGAATATAACTGTGCATGAACTGACTGGTCGTGGTTGTCGGTGTCGGAGTCGTCGAGGTCGGGCTTGGTGCGGCGCTTCTCGTACACGAGGATGATGGTGCAGAGCACGAACACCTCGAAGCAGATGCCGAGGAAGGGCCAGAGCGCGGCGTACATGTCCTTCACGTGCAGCGTGGTGGCGGCGCGGTGCGGGGCGCCGGCGCCCGGCAGCGGCGCCGCGCACGCGTACCGTCCCGCGTCCGACCGCTGCACCGTCTCCAGCACCAGCTCGCCGTCCTCGGCGCCCTGCTCGCTGCGTCGCAGCGTCACGCGGTCGCCCAGCGCCAGTCGCACCTCCACGCCCTCGCCCTCCTCCTCCGTCGAGTTGCTGACGGTCCACACGACGCGCGGGTACGGCTTGCCCACCACCTGCCGGTACACAACGCTCGCGTCACCGCACGCGCCGCACGCACCGCACGCACCGCACGCGCCGGGACGCGCGCCTCACCTTGCACTGCAGCTTCAACTTCTGGCCCTCGACGACGTTGGAGTTGGCCGGCAGCTTGGCGAAGGTGCGGCCGCGCAGCGTCCAGCGCTGCGGGGGCGGGTCGGCGCGCCCGCTGAGCGCGCACGTGTAGTTGCCGAAGTCGTCCTCGACGCTGTGCTGGACCACCAGCTCGGCACCACCGCGCTCCATCTGGTAGCGCCCCTTCAGGTCCGACACCTGTTCGATGTTCGTGTCGTTCTTGGTCCTGCGAAAAGCGATGAGCGACATTCCTCCGGTGTTAGATTACATTAAAAAAAAAAAAAGAAAACTAGCTCGGTAAAGAAGTAAATGAAGTATCATGAGACTGGTTCATTAGGTGCATACTTTAGATTATTGGGTTTGCCGAAGCATACCTATATTGTAGACAGCTTATTACGATTTATTTCTATTAAAACAACATAGAGGCGGAGGATACATCCAGGAGAGGGCGACAAATTCGAGGCCGGCGCACTACTATAAGATATCCTTTTTTCTTTCGATTTAGCTGTAAGAGTGAGCGACGCAGACGGGGCACGTACCACACATAGGGCACGCCATCGGGGTTGGCCAGCGCGCAGTTCAGGGTGATGTTGGAGCGCACGTCGAACAGCGTCTCCTTGCCCTCAGACTCCTCGCCTGTAAAACGGTTTTATTTGAGAAACTCGATTTCCGTCGTATAAGATTAGGAAGTGAAACTCTTTGTCGCGTGAAAATTAGTGTAGAAAATATGTGATCGCAGGCGATGGTGCCGCACCGTTGACGACGATTGCTGCGGGTTATCAAATCACAACACGAGTCGAATTAAACAAGCGAGAAAATTAGGCATCGGTTAGAAAATGTCGCGAGCGCGCAGCGGCACCACCGCGACGAACCGCGGCGCCGGTCCCGGAGACCGGGGGGCGGCGCAGCGGGAAGCGCTCGGCCTGCGCGGCGAGCGGCGACGACGACGGACGCAGGCCTCTAACTACGTAACGAAACGATCTACACGTTCTAACTACGACGCCGTCGCGAGCAAGCGAGCAACGGGACAGCTCTAGCGGCGGCGGTACCGGCGGCTGCTGGGCCCGCGCCGGCCTCCTCGGGCGGCGGCAGCACGACGACGCGCACCCGGGGCCCGCGGCGGCCGTCCGCGCTGCACGTGTACAGGCCGGCGTGGTGGGCGCGCGCGGCGGGCGCGTGCAAGCGCGTCGCCAGCCGGCCGTCGGGCGCGGGGGCTTCGGGCGCGGGCCGGAGGTCGGGGGGCAGCGGAGCTCCCTCCAGCCGCCACTGCGCGGGTTGCTCGGGTCGCAGCCGGCACTCCAGCTCGAGCGGCGCGCCCGCGGTCACGCTCACACGAGGCTCCTCCTCCGCAACACCCACGCCCACTCCCTCTCCCGCGCCTGCGCACAGCTCACACAACACCACACTCTCCATGGACACTCTACACTACATGTGCCTGACTCCTGCCTAACCACTATGGCTTAAATGTTTCAATACTAGTTGTACTCACAGAAACAGTAAAATATAATTTTATAGTTATTTGCAGTAATAGCAACTTATTATATCATTTCTTCAACAAGGATCTATAAATAAATAACACAAATTCCTCTTTGGTGAGCAAAAAAAAATATATATATATGTTTCATAATACATAAATACTTTATTGTATCACAAACCAACTAGGGCACAGCCCTATACTACATGATTTGAACAGTTCACTGAAAATGGAAATTCAATGTGTGCCACAATTTTCCTCTAACTCTAATCAAAAACCTACATTGATAATAAGAGAAGCAAATACATAAATAACGTATTTTTTTTAATCTTTATTTTCAATGAAACTTCTCTCTAATTTATTTTTAGTTTTCGCTTGACGACAAGATTAATATTTTTGTGTATGAAATTGTGTTTATGTGTATGTGGATGTGTAGGTAAGTTCCTTTGTGACAGCCTAGAGCTTAAACAACAATATCAATTTTGAGGAGTCAGTCGGGGGTTTTATTTGATTTGTCTTCTTCTCTGGAGTGTTATAGGTATATTCTACATTAGCACAAACACAGAAAATCTTAACATTATAATATATTGAAATAACAGCAAAAAATAATAAACCCTTGAAACATTGCAGGATGACAAACAAACTTTTTGAATCTACCACAAACCCAGTGAACTTGACTAAGCTATATGTTTGCTAGGCATATTATGTCACTAATTTATATTACATACTAGCAAAAATATAAGTGGTAATTATTTAATTTTTATTTATATTTTTATTGGGATGAAAAATAATTAACTTTTTTAGTTATCGAAGCCTTTTTAATATGCAGCATGTAACCCCGGTCTTTAAGACCTTGCATAATTTATGTCAGAGTTAAATTTTCTTAAAAAAAAAAATATCGTAATTTCCTCTCTTAGAAGACAAAGGTTCCGTGAGACAAATACATAAAAAATGTTAACAAATAATAAGACGATAAGATTTGTCGCCCGAAAGGGATAACACCAACATATTTAAAAGAAATACAAAGAATATAAAGGAAATGTTGTAAGATGACGCTACAAATAATAAATTTTCCAGATTTACAAAAATTAAATTAATTAAAATACTAACAAATAAATTAATACGTACAAAGAATTGGAGTGGTTAATTAATGTTTAGCTTTGACAAAGAATCAATGTGTCAATTAAAATCGATTGTGTTGTATGACTGCAGATAGTATGACATCACTCAACAGACTGCAATAACTGGGGCGGTGAATGAGGCAAGGACCTCGAAAAATAGGTCAATCCATAAACATCATTAATGTTAATTCCAAGTATTTATAAAATATCTAATATTAATGTGATTATTAAAATAAAAAAGACTTACTTTGAGCATTTGCTGGCAGCGCAGTAGCTAAAAATAGATAAGCCAGTGCCAATGGCATCCACAATGATGAACGAGGCATAGCTGCCCCTATTTCACAGTCAACCGTTTTGAATAAAACTGAAAATAAATACCCACGTCTTATAGAAAACAGAGCCTTTAAATATTTAATCGTAAGTTAATTTTAGGAAACAATGTTCCTTACTTAAATGGAATCAACCACCAACCACACAAGATGGCGCTCAAGAACTGAATGAACTGAAACTGGAATGAAGCGAAGACTGGCGAAGACCAAAGAGTATATAAAATATGGGCGAAGAGCGAAGAGAACGTTACCAAAGAGTAGTAATAGACAATAAACATAGATTTGATAGACATCACCAGATAAGTAGGGGAAATCCGACAGATTTCGACCACGATGTAGTTTTGAATCAGTTGACTAAAAACACATTTATTGTAGCTCTCATAGAAGTTAATTGTAAGAAAACTACTGAAACTGACAACTAATAGGCTAACATTTCACGTCTAAATTACTAACAGAAAATATAAATTAAAAAAAAGCCACGGCTGATCTTAAAGTAACAGGCGCGGAGCTCGTTAAAAATTGTTAGTTTCTTGTCACTTTTGTAAAGGACAACATTTTTTATTTGATATTTGTTATCAATAAATCTGACAGAATAGATGTTACCTAGTAATTATATATGTGGATATTACTTCGGACCACCCTTAGGGTACAGTTCCCAACCACCCCAAATTCTACCCAAGGGGGGGTACCCATATCTGTCTTGGGTGAACGGAAATTGAATTTTTTTGTCTACTGCCCACTTTGAGAATAAATATTTTTTTTGCGCCCCCATATTAGAGTTTAAGCAATCTTTTAATTCATATTAGTTGATGTTCACAAGTCGATGTTGAGAGTCGAGGGCTCATACAGTCGTTGTCTAAGAGGCCCCCTAGCTAAATAAAATTACAAATCACCGCCCAAGCCTCTACACAACGCCCCCATTTTCTTTCTGGGTCTCTTACCGCCTCCCTTGAGACCCGCAGCGCCCACAAGGGGGCGTTATCGCCCACTTTGGGAAAGACTGGTGTAGAGCATAGTCTGAGAGAACATATAGGCTACACTAATGAAGGACGAAGTCGCGAGCGACAGCTAGTAATAGTAATAAATAAATAACTTTGAAGGACACGTCCTTGAGCGATACGAGCGAGCTATGCATGAATATTAAAAACGTTTCTGAGCACAAAGAGCTTTGTTTTATAAGAAACAGGAGTAGGTCGGGCGTTTGTTTCCCGCATGTCTCCAGTTCCGAAAATGCGACGCTAACTTCCAAAAAATGAAACAATAAAACGGTTTAACAATAAATTTATTGATTGTATAACATTGTAAGGACAGGCGTTAGTTTATTTATTATATTTGATATTTAATATTGCACGTATTTCATTTTCATTTCACTAATATAATGATATTAATAAATTAAATTATAAACAAATAGAAGTTTTCAACAAAGGTCCAGGGTGAGGATGGCAGAGGAACAAGACTAATGTCGTGGCCGGTACATGAGACATCTCTACACTTCTGTCGCTCCTATATAATATATAATAAATAAAACAAATAGCCTCGAACAGTACATTTATCTTCTCGCTACATTTTGTAGAAGACTGAACTGCACGGACGCACATCACCTACTACAAAAATATACTTCTGAAGCTTTCGACTATTTCTTCTTTGTCCTAACTTTTGGTAAAATTATCTTCATAATTGTATCGATTGTGTTATACTTTGCACAAAATATTTGCTCGAAAATTAAACAAAAATCGAAACCTGATTTTTTCAAATAATATAAAATATAGACGTTAGAAGTAAATCTAGTGACATTGTACCAAAGTATATATATTTATGTAGTTATTTCTTAAAGGAGGGCAAAGTGTGAGCGCGACCTCACATCAAATAGCAGCGCTACTAAACAACTATACTAATTCTTATAATTAAACTGAATTTATATAATCAATTCAAAACTGGTGATAAATATATAAACGACACAAGTTAAGAGGTGGAGTACATGCGAGTACAGTGAGTGCGGTGAGTTCCCCTCCACAAGACGGGCTCTTCTGCTCACCTCACACTTCATAACTCATCGGACAATTGTGTACCGCACCATTGCCACCACCAGCACCACCACCAGCACACCACAGACAGCCGCTACGGAAATTATTGGAATCATAATGAGTCATCATCCATTTCATGAATCAGGGCTGCGGCCGCGACTGTGGGAATGCGGAACCATTTCGCTGTTCATCTCTACGCCCAAATCTGAAAATTGACCAACATAAAATGTGTAGTATTTGGTGATGGTTGAGGTGCAGATGGAGAAGTAAAGGCGGTTACGTACCCTGAGCGTGGAGTCCCAGGAGGCGGTGGCGAGCGCGGTGCCGTCGGGCGAGAGCTGGAGGCAGGAGACGCGGTGCTCGTGCCCGCAGAGGACGCAGACGCGCACTGCACGCAGCGCGTCCCAGGCGCAGGCGGTGTAGTCGCTGTAGCCGGCGAACAGCAGGCGCCCGCTGACCGACCAGGCCACCGAGTTGACGCCGAAGATGACGTTGTCCTTGGCGTAGCGCGCCACCTCGCGGTCGGCGCGCAGGTCGAACAGTCGGCAGCAGGAGTCGTCGGAGCCGGTGGCCAGCGAGTCGCCGGCGGGGTGGAAGCGCACGCTGGTCACGTCCGAGTCGTGCGCGTCGAACGCCTGCACGGCGCCGCCGCTGCGCATGTCCCACACGAGCGCGGCGCGGTCGCAGCCGCCGGACACGAAGGTGTCGCCCATCTCGCAGGCGGCCAGGTCCAGGCAGGTGACGTCGGCCGCGTGCGCCTGGAAGCTCTGCAGCAGCTGGCCCGACTCCACGTCCCACAGCGCGCACGCGCCCTCTCCGCCCGCCGTCAGCAGCTGCCGGTCCGAGTGCGCGAACCGGCAGCACGACATGTACGACGTGTGCGTGGCCACGGTGCGCTTGCGCTGCGCCGCGCCCGCGCCCCCACCACCTCCACCACCTCCACCTCCACCTCCGCCGCCCACCTCCTCCTCCGCGCCCAGCGGGAACACCGTCACCTTGTTGTCCAGGCCCCTGACAACATTTACATGTACATAAACATATAAAATTATCAACTATGGTTTACATTAAAGAAAAAAAATTTCTTCTTATTTCACTTCCGATATAGTACAAATCAGATTAATTGATAAATGTACAAACAAAGTGAGTAATGGTTGTGTTGGGCGGTCTGTTGAGTTTGAACTTGTTGTTGTGTGCAAGTAATGTTTGTGAGGGGGGGCATGAGAGGCGGTCCAGCTCACCCGGCGGCCACCATGGTGCCGGAGGGGGCGTAGGCGCAGGCCATCACCCACGTGCTCGGCATCGAGATCGTCATCTCCTTGGTCGCGCTGAACGCGTCCCATACGATAATCTTACCATCCTGTAATCATATAAATATTTACATGATTATTGCAAACTAGCCGTCTCCCGCGACTTTATCCGCGGAAAAAAACTCATAAGCAGGCTTCTTCCACACTATGTTGTACATGAGTGCCAAATTTCATTAAAATCTATTGAGCCATTTCCAAGATGTCTTCAAACAAACAGCCTCCCAGCTATCCTTCTAAATTTTGGTATTTATAATATTAGTAAGATAAGATGTGAATATTAATGGTTAATGGTTTTTGTGGTAAAGAAAGTGGATCATTTCAGTGTCCATTAAGTATATAGATTATATGTAACATTACAATGTCAATGTCGTGAAATGATGAAAGCACACAAAGCGTGGCTCATTATCATAAATCAACTATACAGACAACCTTTTTATTTTTGGAACATACAGAAGTATGTATTATGAAGGTAAGGGTAAGGAGCATGACGGGACTCTAGGAAGCTAGGATAAGGGGAGAATGGATGGAGTGCTTCAAGGAATTACCTGTGAAGAGGAAACAATGTGGCGTTTGTCAGGTGACCAGTCCGCACAGAGTACTTTGGACTGGTGACCCTTCAGCACACGCCGCAGCTTCAGGTTTGGGAATGTGACAGGCTCCAGGCGCTCTGCCACACATGACACTGCATACCAACACACATAACTCACTAAATATTTACAAACAAAATTGTACCTAGCAATTTAAAAATTATTATTATTATTGCATTTGTTTATTTAATCAATATTGCTTTTATTTATATTTTGCTGTTAAATACATTCAGTTATGGCTGATTATGTCATTATGAATGTGTAAAAGCAGTTCAAACTATACTAGTACTGTAACATAGAGAATATAAGGAATAAATCAACATGTTAATGTCACACCACAAATTTGTGGTGGGTGTACATCACAAATAAATCAATTGACTGCTATAATATAGTGTATGAAACATTAATGTATGTGCACACCACCTATCCTTTTCCATATCTATCAAATATTCATCATTTTAATAACAAACACAAATTTAGTATGTTTTGTTTGATCCAGTGCTCAGGTTATGATAAAATTGTTGTGTTTTGTTTTGCAGACAATTTTTGAATTTTCTAGATTCTTTGTTCTTGCTTTGACAATTTGTAATTTTAGAATCAATGAATGCATTGCCTCATAAAGTAACACACAAGAACTAACATGTACCCAAGTACATCTAGTGAGCATGCAAAACACTAAAAAATAAATAACTGTATTGATTAGAAACCTATCTGCTTCAACAGAGATAAAGAAAATTGGAGTGTCTGTATTTTATTTAAAAATAAAAATGTCTTATTGCACCATGATAGTCAATAAAAATATCCTTGGTAAATATAACAACCAATTAATTTGAAAAAGAAAAATTTACATGTCACATCGTTAAGCTTTTGTCGCTCCTCCTCTAATTTTTGTTTCAATGCCTCTGCCTCACGAAGAAGTGACTCCAAGGTTTCTTCGGGCGTCGGTGCGACTGCTGTATCAGCAGCCATGGCTCTGGCGCTCTGCAGCTTATTTCAAACTAAGATTCAAAACATTTTACCAAGCGCTTTAGTACTCCTTACTACTTAACTTAAAGCCAGATTAATAATAGCATATACGTGTGATATATGACATCATTAAATTAATGCAAGTATTTAAACTTATTGGAAAAACTTAAACTCATATAACATTAATCTGAATAAAATAATTAGTCAGAATTCATAAAACATGAAATGAATGAATCGATATCTTTGACACGACAACCGACACTTGTGACATTTTGTAGCTTTTCCCCAAAGAGTATAGTAAGTCTAGTCTGTTCAGTCTTGCATAACAAAGAGCATGTAGGGTCATAGTGTGTCTATTGAAGATAGATTGGTTTGACAACTGTCACCTATGAAGTATCGAATTAATTTTGTATGAAGATGAATGTTGTACTTTATGGACGATTGCCATAGTGACACCGGACGCGCAAAACGAATAGTTATAAACTATCGAGAATCGGGCTTGTAATAATATGAATAAAACAAATAAATTATATCACTTTGATATTTTCCTACTTTTTGAATTTATAACAGATTTGGCTTTGGCCGGATTTGGATATATCTCGCGGATCTAACTAAAATAACATTAAAACATTTATTTTATTTGTAAATATCTCAATTTTGGTTTAATATTTTACTTTTCTATGTAGTTATTAAGAATAAAGTTGTCACAAAAAGAAACAATTTTATAAATATTGCTATTCAGAAACAATAATCACGAAATTGTAACTAATATATCTTAAATAGACACAAAAAGTTTTCGTTTTCTCCGACAAAAATATGATCTTCGATCCATGAATATATGGTCCAAAACTATCTGACCGGAGGGACAAAAATGAAAGTAAATTTAGACGGGTCACTCATACAGCGCCCCCTCCTCAATTTAAAAAAAAGGTGTCAAAAATGTTTTGCATTTTCCGAGTTTTAAATGACATTACATATGTAATAATAAGTTTAACACTGAACTGCGCTACACGTGCTGACTATTCAGTGTCCAAATGTATAATGCCACGACGACCATCAGCTTTACAAAAAAAATTAAAACTTCATTTCAGTCTTTTTATTTACAATTACAAGATACAACTTTTATGTAAAGTCAACATCACAATTCATGGTAAAAGTTACTTAAATGAATCTGTTATAGACCAGATATCAGGAATTTTTTTATAAAAATACTTTCATCTCACTGATAAATAGTATTAGATCATCTTACAGTTCGACGACTTGTCAAATCAATTTATTGCGTTAGTTTCCATTTATTTAAACATAAAATGTTGTTATACCTAAATTACATGTACGCTATGTTAACAGCTAGCGATCTTCGCCGCCACGTGGAGTCAACGCGGAGTCAAACTTGCATTTTTTTTATCATCACAAGTATTGATTTCGTATGAAAAAAGAATGAACACAATCGGTCGATCGCGAGCGGAATTAAAATAACACAAAAAATGTTATCGACGCATCGAGTTCCTCCTCGTTACGGAGTGCGGTCAGCTGAGGATCCACAGCATGTTGAGTCCGGCCGGGCCGAGCGGCGTGCGGGACAGCGCGGGCGGGGAGCGGCGCGCGGCGGCGGCCAGCAGCAGCAGCAGCGCGTGCAGCAGGTTGTTGCGGCCCCGCGCGCCCGCCAGCGCCCCGCCCACCCGCACCGCCCACTGCGGCGGCCGCTCGCGCACGCGCTCCAGCCGCGGCTCCTCGGCCCCCGCCCCCGCCCCCGACCCCGCCGCGTACAGGTACTGCGAGGTGAAGGGGCGCGGGTTCCCGCTCTGCAGCATCTGCACACAGCGACCCTCACTTCATCACTCATTAATGTAGTACCGTCTACTGAGGATCTTCCGGGACTCGCAGGGGATTTACACTATACGTTTAAAAAAAGATGGAGTCCTTTCTGTATTTATTAAACAAAGGTAAAAGAATAAAAAACTGTTATTGGAAGAAGACTTTACTGACGACGGGAGCGAGGCGAACCGTTCGCTCGCTTAGAAAATATCCCCCGTCGTTAATGTTCCACCCCGAGCGCGATCGAATAGATAGACCGACTAATGGAGACCGACCTGTCCGTCCAGATAGGTGGCGAAGAGGTGCAGGATGATCTCGGCGTCGGTGGGCTGGCCGGCGTGCCAGTCGGCGCCGCCCGCCTCGCCGCGGTACTCGCTGAGGCAGGGCGCCCGCGCCAGCTCCCGCAGCCGCCGCACCACGTAGCGCTGGTCCGCGAACGGCTCCAGATACGGCAGCAGCGCCCCCAGCGCCGGCGCCGCGCCCGCCAGCGCCCGCAGCCGCTCCCCGCTCACCCGCCCCAGCCGCGCCTCGCCGCCCGCCAGCCGCGCCAGCGCCGCGTCCGCCGCCGCCATCGCCCCCACCACGCGCTCCAGGATCGTGATGTGGATCCACTGCGCACAAGACCACGCACTCAGCCTCGGCCTCGGCCCCGCCTGCCGCCCCGCCCCACCCCATCCCGCCCCACTCACCAGTCGCAGGTTCAGGTTCCACTGAGTCAGCTTATGCGGGTCGATGTCGAGCTGCCAGCACACCGGCGGAGAACCCTC